AGTTCACAGGGATGCATCGTCTCCTGGCGTTGCTGAAGGTGTGCTCCAACAAAAGGGGTCTCTTCAGCTGTGTGGTGGTTTTTTCTCTTTAGATCTCATACGCATACGTCTTGTTAGTTTATTACTAGTTTCAGCTGGCTAAAATACGGTTTGCAGATACCGCTCTAATGGAAATAACCTGGTCAGTGATACTCAGGTGGGGTTTTCTAGCGCGGCCCCAATGCAACAGAGAATTTAAACTATCATAAAACCAGGGTACGATTTCAAAATGGCTTTTAAATAAATAAAAATTCAAAAAATGAAAATCTTATAATTACCAGTGCATTATAAATTAATTCGTTTATGAATTAAATCAGATGAGTTTGTAAAGCTTATCTTAACCACGTTTTAACATAATTGGGAAGTCTGAAATGTGTTACTATTTTATTATTTAAAGTTAGGGAACCACTCATACTTTTGTTTTAAGCGTTATAAATTTAAATAACAAAACTAGACCCTTGTATGTCGATCTGAGGGAGAGAAAAGCCTCGGTACGGCTATGCATCTCTAGAATAGGCAATATCATCCTCTTTAAAATTCTTAATTATCCTCTTTAAAATTCTTAATTAATGTTTAACCTACTTAAAGATTTTTTTTTAGTTCGTAGTTGTGAGTTTAGATTTACCTGAAATCTACAAGTTTCAATAAATAAAAGCAGCATTCATTTTTAACAGATAATTGCTACAGAATTTTGAGAGTTTTGATTAGCTGAAATATAAAATAGTCAATGCATAAATAAATCTGTCATTTTTTGACGGGTAATACTACTAGTATCTCAAAACAAATAAGTGTAACAGCAAAGTTCCCTGAACCCAGACCATAATTAAGTCACGGTCTTGTTATTCCTACGCACCGATCCTAGATACTTATTGAGCGTTTATTCCTCCTGTCATGAAGAGCTTTTGTTCCCTCGGTTCAATTCTTGCTAGTACCCGGCACTGGCAAACCTAAAGCTCCCATAAATCACACCCTTAAGTCAACCCCCCGAAGATACTTATTGAGCGTTTATTCCTCCTGTCATGAAGAGCTTTTGTTCCCTCGGTTCAATTCTTGCTAGTACCCGGCACTGGCAAACCTAAAGCTCCCATAAATCACACCCTTAAGTCAACCCCCCGCTTGTTCCTCGTGCCCTAACTTAAATCTCCGATATTTGACAGCACTAAGTGTTCGACCAGCATGATGTGGGACTACTGTTATATCACAGTGCAGACAAGCGGGTCCATTGAGATACGCTATTGTTGAAGTTTATTTTTTATAGTCTGTTTTTTTTTTTTTTTTTTAAACCGCCGGGCCGGTCTAGACATAATAATATGTTTAGAAACGAAATTTGAACCCTGAGATCGCCTATTATTATTAAGCTTGTTAGACTGTGTTGTAGGGACAATCTCCATTACCGTTACACAGCTGGAACAGGTCGCCAATCATTCTTGACAACGGACAACATTTTGTGGACACATTGAAGGCATAACGTCTGTAGCTAGAGACACGGCTAGTTATAATTCCAGCTCGAGACATGCATGTGGGAATCTAAAGGCATGACCTGAAGTTCTACGAGTCCCCCTGGTGAAGGGATTCCCAACCGGGAAGTGACTCCAAATCGTTAAGTGACTCCCCATTTGATTTGACTCCAAGCGGCAATAGGACTCCCCTAGAGTTATAACTTGACTCCCAATGGTAATGTGACTGAAAGCATGCATATGGTTTCATACACATAATCCACGCAGGGCCTCGATACTTCAATCCCCAATCAATATTTGGAATTGAATTACATTTTAAAAGTTAAATCATACCATGGGTTCAGTTATTTTAGTTCGTTGTTATAAACGTTTAAATAGGTTTTAAAGTTAGCTTAAACTAAAAGAATAGGTTCTACTACATTTGGTTTTTATTTATTAGCGTGGTCTTCCTTTAGGAAGGAAGAATAAAAACGAACGGGGAGGGTTGGAGATTATGCACTCACTCAATCAGAGTTGTTGTTTGTTTATTTTAAATCTCGACCCAAATTATAATTACTTTTTTTTTTAGTTGATTCAGCCTCGGTCAGCATGGTCCTGGTAGCAATCCCTAGTGCTTCACATTTCAATGGAGGCAGTACAGCCAGTGTTAAAGAAACCACTTTCAATTGTTTTCAAACACGTTTTTAAAAAAAAATCTATTTATAGTCAAATTAATAATTGCACCATTCCGCACCAAGCTAGAACAAAAGCCGCACTGCTTAGCTGAACGCCATATTTTCGTCGGTAGACACAGGGGTCGGTACCTCCATGGGCAATCCGACAATCCAACAGCAGAGCTGAGAGTGGATCTGTTAAAGATACGCTCACCTCGTCAAGTCCTTGATTCGAATCTGTTGATGTTATTTCTGCATTAACTTACAAAAAAAAAAAACGGATCTCAAACCATGGCTTGCGATATCAAGTGTCCACGGCGATGCCCGACGGTGTCGGAGAGAGAACGGCCCTCAAAGTGCACGTGTGTTCATAATAATTTTGTTCAGTTCATTTCAATTTTGGGGGGGGGGGGGCCTCATCGAGGGATACCAAATTTTACCAGTTTT